CATTAAACATCCCTATTGCCATGCTCTGAAATCATGGGTTGATAATCAAAGTTGATGATATGCACACCTTCATATTTAANTATAATGCAATGAAAATTCGAGCGCCTTGAAATTCAAGAAGCTGGAAGTATTTATGGAAGTTAGGTTTCATTCAATAATATTTTTTGCATGCTTATCGCTTTCTGCTGGACTAGGTGGATAGTTGAAGATAAGGGATGCGAGAAGCAATGATTTGAAAGTGCAAGAGTCCTGCTAAAAGTTTGTTACCCAGTTGCACTTTCTGTAAGTTAGAGCCTACAGGATCAGAAACTTATTCTATTCATCTTGATACTTTCTTTCCAATCTTTCAATAGTCCCATAGGAAGGAGGTAACAGTTTATAAAATTAGTTTGACTCAATGTACCCGATTCTTTCGTAGGACTGCAAGTACGGACCATAACGTGTGATATTCTGCTGGCTGGGAAATTGTGAAAAATAGTGACTCGGACCAAAAACATAATTTACTAACTTTCACAATTAGACGCGAACGCAAATCTAACTTCGTAAATAGGAGGGACAAATAACTTTAAACGGAGTTGTATACCTTGGTGACATTTTAAATCCGGCTTGCATATGTTCTCGAGATTCTTTTGCAGAACTGCGGGTGAGAANTCTGCAGCCGAAACTAAAAAATTTCGAAGGCACGGAACATAGTTTTACAGCTTACGCGGTGGAAGAATGCATATGGTCATCGAAGCCCGCCTTGCGCCAGTGATGATGAAAATAATGGATCCAAACAACTATGTAAAGGATGTTGTCCCTATCTTTGGATTTTCGAATAGTTGCGAAAATCAAGACCTCGAAGACCAACTTTGCCACTACAGTGTACACGTTCTTTTCGTTATCACTGTACAAATAAGATCTTAACAGGACTGTTCACAGCATTAAACAAACAATCAAAAATGCAAACAGTATGCGTTGCTTAACTAAAGAAATTTTCTTCACTTAGAATATCCCTTATTTTTAGTTTACGAGCCGTAGGGCCTCACTAACATCTTCTCTAATGCATGTCGCACCCCTGCAAAATTGAAGGTGAAATCTTAGACCGAAGGTCATACAGAAAATTTGAGATATTTTACAATAGTAGCATCCTTAATAGTGCCTTTTTGTTGCAAGAGTGTTGATGATCATGATTCTTGATAAAAGGTGTACTGTTTTCCCACCTGANAGGCAATTGAAAGGATGGTAATGTTGTAAACATGTTAGAGGTATCAATAGCCTATGCGATTAACTGGATTAAAAACTCGCGTTGCCTATAAGTAAAATAAAGCCATAAGGCTAGGAATTTATCATGAGAAAAATATTACTAATGAAGGCTAGGTACAAGAAAAATCCTTAATCCTACCACGTCCAACTTCTGCTATTTGGGCTAATTTTTCTACAAATGGAAACCCTTCAAGCACATACTAGCCAATATAATATTTTATTTTCAGGAACTCCAGAGGCTTCTAGAGAAGAATTATTTTCATTAAGACCTGAAGTGGCTTGAATTTAATGTGATAGCCTCCATTATAGATCGATATTCAAATAGTTAAAACATCAGTTGTCACTGAAATATTCATTGCTATTGCTTCTTTCATAACTATTCCAATAGTTTCAATGGTGATTGTAACCAAAGTGGGCAAACACACATAAGTGACCCTATTATGTATAGGACCACTTAAAATGTTCCTTTGANCATACAATATTTTTATCTCTTTTGCTCACCATCGCTTCCCCTTTTCATGAAGAAAGATTCCTATCCATATTTCAGATAAACCCATACTTTTCTGACTCAAGAACGAACCGAAAGGCTATCAAAGTAAGTACAACTACCTCAATAAATACGAACACACCGGAACCGGTCTATTCAGAATATACAACTAACCTATCGTCTAGTTTTAGAGTCATTGCACTGATTGCATTACAAATTGCTCTCTTCAAGAAGCAGGATCATTTTTGAGGCTCTAAAGAAAAGCCACTCCCGCCCTTTAAACATATTCATCTGAAAGATGAAAGTAAGAAAACACTATCCGAAGGCAGTTTGAACAAATAAAATCTGTAGCCTAAAAAGACTTTCTCCAGACTTGACTCAATCTTATTTTTTAATAATATTCATTTACGGAAGGTTCCATAAACCAGCAAGTTCTACTAATATTTTAATAAGTTGTTGCAGATCTTGCGCAATGAAGCATCTAAAGTACGCTTGTTAAATATTTTGGAGTACATTGAAATGTTAGCATGATCTAAGATCCTTATACTTCACCAATGATGCTAGCATTTGAAAAGGAGGTTGAGTAGATCACAGTTGCAAAAACCAAAAGTTGTGTTGAAACTATTTTATTAAAACTTTTATTTTCCAAACTTAAGAGATAGACCTAGGTCAACTAAAAACTGCAAAAAACTTCTATGTACCTCTGAATTCATAGTACATCTGCAGAATACAGTATTATCAAGAGATACATCAAGCATTACCAAGCTGATACCGCAAATTTACCCGAGTGCTCTGCATATTTGAGGAAGAGGATTGTAAAACTAAAATTGGACTTGGGGCATCATTATTTATAGTGCCTTTCTCTCGTTTTTCATGGTTTCTATAGTGCTCCGTATACAAAATGAAGTTGTCGAGGTTATTGGCTTTTGCTGCCACTTGTGCTGTGGCTTGTTCAACAGAGGNTTTCGGTATTCTTACGACTTTTGATTCTTATACTTACCAAGGAGACTCCCCCTACCCCCTTCCTTCTGACCCAGGTTGGGTGGCTACTGTTGGTTGGAAAATGAACTCTAATGATGTAATGCCTGGTGATACGTTCCAATATTCTTTTATTTGTGCTTATGCTTTCACAGCTGACAGTCAGACATTCAATTTCGAAGCTGGCGGAAAGACCTATGCCACGTGTTACACTTATTCTGGTGAAAGTTACGAAGGATATTCCTACTTCAGATGTACTATTACCGATGAGATTCAAAACGTAAACGAAATTGGTGGTACCTTGTCTTTTCCTTATATTTACAATCTTGGAGGGTCCCTTAGTGAATCTGATATTTTTGGTAGTTTATATTGTTTGACACCAGGAGAGAATACCATCGTAATCTATCCCATGAGAGATGGTGAAAGAAACGTGACTTTCAATGCTGGCACTCCAACAAACAGACTGTTGGAGGAAACCATAACTANTTTGCGATTACTTCCACAGAGAAGGGAGCTTCAGTCATATGCAGTCGGTCAACTTTGCCCTGATGGTTTTGCAAGAGGTCAACTTGAGATCTCCCTAGAGAATTCCGTCATTAATTGTACATCCGTTGAGACTGCAATCACCAACCAACTTAGTGCTTGGGGATTTGTCCAAACCTTCCAATTAGACTCAAATATTAGTGTGGTTTGTCAGGAAAATCGCGTTCAAATTTCCTACGAAGATATTCCTCAAGGCTACCGCCCTCTTGTTGATTTCTTGTCCAGCTTCCCAGAAGGCGAATCTGTCCTCGCTACCTACACTGATGTTGCTACTTGCAACAGCCAGATAGTCCTCAATAGCACCTACATAGAAGATTGGTCTTTGGTTTTGGGCGAAATTGGATCTGGAGGACCAGCTGAAGGAGATGTAGTTACAACTGTTACTCAGACTTATACAGGCTCAAGAACTAGTGTTACTACATTACCAGTTGCCACTGGTCGTGGTAACACTGAAACGGTCGTTGTTCTTCTTCCAATCCCAACAACAACAGTCACCAGNACTGGAACTGGACTGGTTAGAACTACTATCACTAGATCTGCTAGCCCAGGGCAGACTGCTAGTGTTATTGTCGAACTTCCTGCACCTGTTGTAACTGTTACTGCACCATGGACTGGGTCTGTGACTGCTACCGTTAC